GGAGAACGTCGTGGCCCGGTGCTGAGTTTTGAGAAGTTCTCAGTGCCTGCGTTTTTGGGATGCTGGCTTTACGTCGCTACGACTTAATAAAAATACAGCTCTGGCATAGGACTCTTTCATACTGTGTGTTCCTATCGTAAGTAATTATGCTGCACACATAGGCCCTTCTGTTTCCCATTCATGCAAAAATGTGCTGAAAGGAACTAATTAATGGAAGCGTTATTGTAGGTTTTCTTTTTCATGTGGCTGCTGTGCTATATAATTTCTTCCTTCCCTCCCTCACTGACTGTATGGCTCCTTGGGGAAATCAGTGAAGAGCAGAGATGCCCGTGGCAAAGGGACTGTGCCTGCCTTTTTAAAAAATGATAAACTCTCTGCAAAAACTTTGGACTCAGCCTTACGGCTTTGTAGCTAGCAGTCTGAAACTACTTCAGTTACTTTCTCCTTGAAGACTGGTTTTCTGTGCGTGCAAATCGTTTTGTGGATGGTCTGGATAATGGGCACGGCTAATGGCTTGAAGTGTATTGATCAGAAATGTTAGTTTTTGAATTAAGCATTTCTTACTGGCAGTTCGTAGTGCTAGTGTTTTAGAAGGTCAGAGGTGAACTTCCAAGGAAGTGCACCTCTAGCATATACTACATGAACTTGACTCTTGTCTATCGTTTGTTGTCACAGAGGAGATGGCTGCAGGTCTCACAGGGATGCTCTCTGCATGGATGTTCCTGAGTGACATCACTGAACGTAACTGAATTTCAGTGCTGCTCAGAGTTTCTGAATGCAGTAGTAACATTGTAACTGTTCTTTTAATGAGTAATACTTCTGCTGCTGACTTGCTGCCGCCCATGATTCTGCTGAAATGCTGTAGCTCTGTAATTGAAGCTGATACCAGTATCACTTGTTTGGTTAAAACTAGGATGGTCTCAAAGAAGTTTTTGACCAATAACGTGTTGTAAATAAGAGCGTAGAAGCTATGGACGCTCGTGGAGCAAGGTCAGCTGTATTCTCCTTTAAGTAACCTTGCAAACTCTGGCTTTTCCAATATGCGAAAGAAGCGCAGAAGACTAAATTAATGGAGACTACGTATGTCCTTTTGTTGGAAATTTGGTCTACTCATAAAAGTTAGTGTGACGTAGGCAATAGGCTGCTATAGAAATTCAGATCTGCATCAAGCTGTAAGACTTGGGTGGTCTTGAACAGTTTAACTTGCTTCTTAACAGAAATGATGTAATAGTTTAATTTACTGAAGTGTACTCTTTAACATTTGAGGTGCCCAGCTGTTTCCACAGATGCTATACAGTGATACAATGCTTGCTGTTCAGGGAGGGGCTATTGTTTACCTTTATGCTCTTGGCAAATCTACCAGGCAACCACATGCTGTAGGGCTTTGTTCTTTAACCTTTGTCATTCTTTGCACATCAGCACTCTTGCCTTACAAATGCTCTATATTTTTATTTTTAAAAAGTTTTAAATTAGGAGATTAATGCTCTTCAATTTTATAAGCTGTTAATGTGCTGAGTGATAGGAGAAAATGACTTAAACTTCAACTTCTGTGTAATAAACTTGCCATAATGTTTTGACAGTGAATTTGAAACTGACTTTCAGGACCTCACTTGAACACCGGGTAGGTTACTAGATCTGCTAGCTGGAGAGAATTACAAGAGTTATTTATAATAGGATTCTAGTTAATATTTGATAAAGTACTGCATCCATCACTGGGAAGTGAATTTAAATATCCTTCAGGGGATAAATACCAATAATTTTTTACTAAACTTGACGCAGTAGTCTTTGTCATATGAAGTAATATACCATGTGAGCCTCAACTGCTCTATAAACGCATAATTTTCTTAGTGTGCCTGTCATTGTACTTAACTGCTCCCATTATAAGAAATTGGGAACAATGTGGTGGCTTGAATTTGTCATATATTTATCTTGGTATATCTGGAAGAAAATGTATGTATTATGTTAGTGGTTCTTAAAAGCTGACTTTCTGTTGTAGTGTTGTGTGCTTTGGTGGTTAAGAAATATTCTATGTGCTGTTAGTGCATTTTTAGGCCTTTTCCATCTGTTTGTCGATGATGTCTGTTCCATTTCAAGCTACATCAAACTTAATGGAATTCTTGCTTGGAGAAATTGGTAGCTTGCTTAAAGAGCCTTACCGATCCTTGATTGGTTGCTGACTTTAACTTCAGATGTTTTGGGAAGCCTTGTTTGACAGCTATCTTCCAGTTTCTGCAGTATTTTAGACTGCTTGTATAAAGGCTTTGAGAGTGTTCTTCAGAGGTAGATGTTTTCCTTTAGTCTTATGTGGTACTGAATGATGCGTTTGGGCTTTATAGCTATGTACAAGACGACTAATTTTTTCCACATGGTAGAACTGAGTAAGCCCTAAAATCCTGGTTGAAAGAGGATTGAGAATTTTCTTGTTCATCCAAATTGACAGTTATGCTTATAGGATCTAAGGCTTAACTGTGGGCTGTCTGACACGCAGAAACAATTGCTTCTGGTCAGTGGTAAATGTAGAAGCAGCTGGTTAGATTATGGTATTTCATCTGCTAGTGTAACGTGGATGAAGTTGTTTTTAAACATGTTCAATTTTAACTGAACACTGAATGGAGTCTATAACGAAGCCTTGCTGCACTCACTGTTTCGGAAAGACACCACCTGGTCTTGTTTTTCTGCTTAGGGTGTCCTAACTTCAGTTGTTGTGAGCAATTGCACTATATCTTTCCAAAATGCCATTGTTTTACAGTGCATTTTGGTAAAAGCAGTGAAACTTTACTTTCCTGTTAGCGGTCTCGTACATGAGCTAAAGCATGCCACAGCGGAAACAAACAATGGGTCAGAGAGCCAATAAATACATCCTAAGAGGGTTCTTTTAAAAGTGCTGATGAAGGGCCAAAAAACGGGTAGAAGCATGGCTTAAAACCAGTGGAAAAATTCCTTGAGGGAGGTAGTGTCAAGATTTATTGTAGAAATCAATAGGAAAGGATAAAGGCTCTTTTTCCTGCATTTTAGTAAACAAATGCAGCTAAATAGTAAACGGTTATTATGAAAGGGCTTGTGGGAGGACCTCTGCAACATCTTTCTGGTCTGACTGCTTTTGAGGGCTTAAAAGCTCACCCCATCTCCTTGAATTCCTAAATGTTGCCAAGTAATATAAGAGTAGCAACTTGAAACTCGGAGCCTCAACTGGTTAATAATATAATAATAATATAATAATAATACAATTAAGACAACTTTCACTTTTTCCGAAGCGGCAAGTTAACCCAGAATTTTAGAGTCAGATTTCTGTTTCTAGAACTTCTTATCAACCAGCCTGAACAGCAAATACTTAGTGACCTCCTCACCTTGTACTTTGTTTTTATTTATGTGTACTGATATACTCAGAACTTCATAATTTTCTAATGTGACTTAGTTTGAAGTGCCAAGCATTGGGATATTTGTGTTGAATCCTTAGCATATAATACTTACCTTAACGCAGTTAGGCTTGGTAGTTGGATTTAATTTAAAATTCATTTTGATAAGCTTAACTTTGCCTGCTTATTACCTCCAGTTGTTCAGAAATAGTGGAATATGCTTAAAATAGGTACTAAAGATAACCTAGTGTCTTCTTCCCAAGTATCAATAAGCTTTTGTCTTTGAGGTCACTTTTAAATGGAAAATATGAAGTATCTACTAGAACTTAGCACTTGTAGAACAAACTTATTCTGTTTGTTCTGTAGACTAAATATGTAGAAGCGATCTGTAAAACATCAGCTTAGTTGTTTAATGCTAGCTACTTTTGACAACAGAAAATACTAATTTTTCTTTACCTGCTGTGTTGCATTTGTTTCTCAACTCAGTTGCACAAGCACTAGTTCTATCATCTGGAGAAGTTTGTAGGACAGAGGGTAATAGCTAAAGCTGGTCTGGTTTGGATGACTTAGATGTGTTAGTACATGTCAAGCAGGTTAGAGCAGTGTATTGGAGAAGAGACTTCTGGTTTCTCTTAAACTAACAACCAGAGATCTCTAGCTTGGGGCAGAATGATTCTTGGGCCTTTGTTCCTTTTTTTTTTTTTTTTCTTAAACAAAGCATTTTCTTCTCATGCGAGAACAGAAGATAACTTGAATGTGTATGATGCAATTCTTTTACTGCTGTAGGAAATAATCAATAATCACTTCCATGTATGTTGAAATGGTGATAGTATAAAAAAAAAAAAGCTTTTTTTTTTTTTTTGCAGCTTCTTACTTGTTTTTGTAATTCTAGGAGACTCTGCAAAGGATTGTCTCTACTCTAGCAAACAAAAATGATGAAATTCACAACTTCATTGACATGCTGAATAATACAATAAAAAATGTTCAGGTATGTATTTTAAGGCTCAAGGTTACACCTGGGAGGCGAGGTAGCCGTTACGAGACTGAAAATTGGCAAGTTGTGCGTAGTTTACAAGGGGTGGGCTGTATGAACTAAGTTTAAAGGAAATCTTCATGTTGGAACCAGCTAGAAAAATTATTTTTGAAATCGGTCTCCAGTTGGAAGGAGTAATTTTTGGTGGTTTTTTTTTTTTTTTTTGAAAAACTTTTGCAAAACTTTAAGTGGAGATAGTCTTTTTTGTAAAATTTTTATTTTGTTTGAAAAAAAAAAAAAAAAAAAAAAAAAATAAGACTGTCTGATACTTAAGAGAATTCTTTGCTCTTTTCCTTTTTAGTACTTGCAGATTGTTGGGTTTATGTGAAAGTTGGATCTAATTGTTAGAACTTCTGCTCTAGAGCAAGGTTTAGGTGCTTCTTTCCTATCAATCGGCAGTGTAGTTTGTTGTCTTTTGTTAATGCCAAGCCAACTATAGAAATGGAAATAATCCCACAGACCTCTCAGATGGTTTCTTGAATGTAGGTTATATAGTGTCAAATGAAACCGTTTTTATGGTACTGGATAATTACCTCTATAAAAGCATCTAGCAACAGGTGAGAGATATGAAAATCCTGTAGCATTTAACAGTGTTGCCAAATACATTGGTTCTGTGCAAGTTTGTGTATCACTGTCAGTCTTCCATGGATTTCAGTCCTCAGTATTCTGATGTCAAATCTAGTTGGGAGGTACTGGTCATTCTTAATGTTTTTTTCCCGTTGGTAAAGTGAGGAGCAATGAGAAGGTAGGGCGCGCAGTGGTCCTGTTTGGGCATGGTATGCTTGGGCAGACAGCGTGATTTTCTATCTAAAAGAACTGCTTACTCTGTCTTGTTTTATACTAATTGCAACATTTTCAATTCTTTTAGACGAACTCTTCTAATGTTATCACTGAGTTGGATGAAGAATTTGAAGGTCTCTATTCCATATTGGATGAGATGAAGGGGACTATGACCAACACTATTCAGCAAGAGGAAGCTCGTAAAATTCAAGCTCTACAGGTAGCTACTTAACTAAAGTAAACTTTTACTGCTAAATAAAAATAATTTTAAACTGCTAGCTTAGGTCTTAACTATAAGTGATGATTTTGGTTGTGCCTGCAAGAAATTTAATTGGGGTAAATGTGTATTTTTGATCCAAGTACTTATGTGGTCCCTTCTTCTAGGGTAATTCAGAGTCTCTGTCATATTTATCTTGACGTTATGCAGAAAGGAGGTAATCTTATCCATAGCTTACAGATGGAGAAAGCTGCCATAGGAGCAGGCCTTGGATGTGTTAACTACCATCAAACTAACAAATGGCATCTGGACTGGAATTTGCTTGTTTCTCCAGTGTAGAATGAGCAGAACAGCGTCTGAACAGAAAGACATGTTTAAGTAATTTGCTGAGGCTTAAACTTGGAGTCAGGAGTGCCATCTGGTATACTAAGCACAAGTGCCAGCCTCCTTTTGACAGAGCTGGTTATCTTCCGCTTCTTAACTTCTAGAGACTTGTATACCCGCTCCGGAAGATGTTGCATACTAGGGAGTTGTTTAGGAATATGTTACATTGGTGCCTGCTACTAAACCTATTATAGGAACTTCATTATTCTATAGTTGTGTAAATTAACGTAGGACAATCTTTTGCCATAAGTTTCAGAAAAAAGTAGAAGCAAAAATGTGGCTTTCTGGAATAGGTGTAAGGTTTGTAATTTTTCCAGTAGCTTGTAGCAAGTTAACTGTAGCTTTCAGAAAGACTAGTATTGTTGTTTGAAAGATGTAAATTCTCCTGTGGTCCCATGCAGAGTCTAATCCTCTAGCTTATTTTCTTTTGAGAGGTCTGCTGGTATCCGTCTTAGATTGGAGTATAAGAAATTAATTTCCGCCTGTTCTTTTCACTTACACAAAGCAGTAAGGAAGATATTTATTCTTGAAAACTTCATATTCTCTTAGATTTCCTATTACTTGGTTAATTTGAAGAAGGAGTTTTGGGAACTGCTTCCTAAAACAAATTCCGTAGGCTTCCTTGGAAGGTCTATTTTATGTCCGTGCATAAAGGCTGTGGGTGTAAAACACCTCAGAGCTTGGAGGTGAACATTAAGATGAATTTAATGTTTCAGTTTGTTCTGTAGTTCTGCCCTGAAATAACGGTGCATCTAGGTAGTGACATGCAAGCCTTTTTGCCAAGGTTCCTGCAAAGTTGCAAGTCCTCTGACTGAAGCATTTAAGTGCTTTATTTCATGCTTTCCAGCTCTCTTGTAGCAGTGCTAATGTTTGTTTATAGGAGTGAAAAGACTGATATGTGGGATGTGCTCTCTGCTTGAAAGTTTCATACTAGGCGTCTAAAGTGCTTACAGTTGTGGGGTAGGACTTGAGCTTCAGTTTTCAAATTTTGTTTGCAGATGGTATCCTTCAAAACAGTTTTACTTCTTGCTGTGATTTTTCCATCTATAAAATAGGACTGTGTCTTACTCCAGGGCCAAGTGTGGAGGAAGCTCCTGGAGCACAAAGGTATTCAGCTTACTGAAAAAATGGAAGAGCTGATGAAAGCAAGTGGCTCTACCAGTTAAGAGTTCTTGTGATTAATCAGACCGGTACTCTTAAGTGCCTCATCTCTTATACTTGTCAGTATTGTTGCTTGAAATATGGGTGACCTGAGCATGCTTCTTGAGCACCTTCTGTACCTCAGACTCTTGATTAGTTAATGACTTAAAATATAAAGCTTATGCAACCTTTTTAGCCCTAGCACCTGCTTTTAGGAATTCTGTGCTCTGTGTTTCTGTGCTTCAACATGTACTGACATAGGACAGAGGATCTTAAGCGCTCTACAGTTTTGCAGTGTCCTATTCGTCTTACGTACTTCATCTCTTGATGTTTTTTAGTGTTAGTTTTTCTTGTTAACTTCAGCTGCTGGAAAATCTAATCACTCCTAATTTATTAATATGAATTTCTTTCAATCCTAAATTTTTGATATGTTCTGAAATTATCAAAGGTCTTGTTATCTGTATACAACTCAGTGGGGAAAAGTCCTTTCAGTATGGCTTTCTTCACTATGAAATATGTTTTTAAAAAAACCCAAAACATTAAATGCCATTTTCAAAAAAGCTAAATATTTATTATTTCTTAGATGACCCAAATAACAGCAAAAAGGTGCTACAGTAAAACTAAGATATTGAACTTTTAAGGAGGGTTTTTTGGTATGTACTGTTCCATTTTGTAAGAGGGGAATGTTGCTTCAGTGACCATGCTGAGTTTGGTACAGAATTCAGAGCGCGAACGTGAGATTTTAAAAAAAGAAAAAAGCTTTCTATCCTGTGCAACATGACATTGCTGCAGAGCTGCATTAGTCAGAAGTTAATAGATCTTTACTGAGGTATCTCTAATGTTTCTTGTGTAACTGACGGTTTGCACAGCTGTGTGACTACCCACTTGTTCTTCTAGTTTATGTTCAATTTCACTTTTCTACTTGCAATTTCACTCTGCGCCTGCCCCACTGCTATGTCTGTTTTAGAGCCTTCTGGAGTTTCACAGTTAGCAAGCTGGAGTATTGCCTAGTCTCTAGTGTATTCTGATTAGAAGAAGTGCCACCCCTCAATCTTGTAGCAACTGCTGTTATTTCTGTTATGTTTTTTTTAAGTGACAGTATTTCATTAAAACTTCCTAATCCTTGACTTTATTGTACCTTGACTAGTTTAGACATCTCTCATGTCTGTTAATCCCACAACCAAGTTAATTCTGCCAGCCTTGCCCTGGTCACCTGTTGTTGGTCTGCTTTGTCTACGGCTAAACTTATTTTAGAACACTGGTAGTTTATTCTTTATGCCATGTTCATCCGGGTACTGATGTAGTATTCTTTCTGCTAGTGTATTGGGTAGAACAGGAAGTATTGCTGTTCTTTGTAAAAGACTAGTGTCGTTAAGAGTTACTTAGACGGTGGCAGAGCTTTGAATTTAGCTTGAGTTTTGTAATATGCATTGGTGAGTGCACTGGTGTGTATTGATTCACAGACTTCCTGGCAGTGTTTGGTAGGTGCCCCCATGAAACTGGGATGCAAAACACTAACAGATAAGAGCTATTAACCTTAGTCTTCTGTTCAAATGCCTGCAGCCTGAAACAGTGGTGTGCCAGGGGTATGTGTGTGCAGAGGGATGAATTAATTTCCAGGGTACCTAAAATCTGAGGAACACTTTCCAATGGAAAAGAGGTATTGGCAGCTGCTGCTGAAGGGGGACGTTTGCAGACTGGTAAACTACTCGTTATAATAGAACAAACTAAAGAGTTCACTTTAAAAGTTGAACAGGAGTCCTGGGAAGTCTAGAAAGAGGACTTAGCTGTTGGATGGAGAGTCTAGAGGCAAGGGAATAGACCCTCTCCCAAGTATTGATAGAATTTCAGAACTCGAGTGGTAATGATGACTGAATCTCTGTACAGTTCAATAAAACTTGCGTTCCTTTTGTTTCACTTAAGCGGAATAACCTACAAATTATTCTGCAGGCTTATTTACTTTGTTACATATTCCCGGTGAAGAAAATTATAACTTGAAACTATAGGAGAAGTGCTTGAGCGCGAGAGTGTTTTCAGCTTCTTGAATCTTGCTGACCCACAGAGGTGGGGATCTGTTTCTCTGCTAGAAATTCCATTCAAAGTGTGCCTGAGCTGGTCAGAGCTTAAGACACAGGCCTACTGAGGTCCATGGGGGCATGTAGAACTGAAAGGCTTAAGGAAAAATACTTCTGAGTGAACAACTCTCAGTGAAAACTCAGCTTGACTAGTATCAGTTATTCTACCTTATAGTCGAGGAAAAAAAAAAATTCATCTTGCAAGTAAGTGTTCTGGAACTGGAAAACATTTTGACACTTACTCATATGGCTATATGACTTGACTGTATAGAAGTTTTCTGTTAGCTAAAATTGATTTTTTTTTATCAGATTAGATTACGATTTAGGTGTGATTGAACCAAGTTCTGAAAGCCTGTCAGTGTTGTATAGCTGTATAAATAATTGCTGCCTGATATCCATGTGCCGAACAGCTGAGCTGGTACTTAAATTCAGAAGAGGATGAAGACAAGTGGAATGTTGTAGATGACTGACACAGTCATTAAGAGCCCTACTTGTCTTTCAGCTGAGGCTGTTATCCAACTGCATATGTCCAAGGGACGTTCTCTTTACTTGATGACAGAGCGAATTTTCCTACGCTGCCTCAGTTCCAGAGATCTATCAGAAGAGTGCTTTTTGTAACAGTGAAGCTAACAGACCCAACCAATAGAGGAATACTAGGTTGTATTGCATTTGGATTTATTCAAGCCCTTATCTTAGATTAGGATTGAAAACCAACTGTATATGCGGGAACCAAGATAAACTATGTTATGTCTAGAACTGAACTTCCTGTTTGAAGGAGGTGACTTCTTTAATTTATTGTCCCTTTAAACCGCTTGTGCAGTAGTTAGCTTCTACTGTAGCTGACTAGATGCCATTGCTGAGAATATGTGGTAAGTTGAAAATGGGGGCTATATAATGCTTGATTAGGATAAGTCTTTAATTTTGACTTCTCTCTCCCAAATACTGAGTTCCTATAGAAGGACCTTTGAAAGTACATCGCTTCATTTTAGTACCGCGTATTTTAATAACACTAAAATGTTTATTTTCCCTCCAGAATTCTGGTGCGTATCAGTGAGATGCAAAAGTAAGCATCTAGTTACCGTGTCATTTCTGGAAAACTGGATATGCCTCTGGCATTTGTTGCCTTTTTTGAGGTGTTTGCTTGGGACATTTTGGCAGCATCATGCTATATCTGACTTTGTTAGCTTTGGATATCCTCCAAAGAGGAGAGCAGCTGTGTTAGATGAATGACAACTTGCGTTAATCACATGCTCCGAAAGTCTTCTAGAAACTGTATATCAATTTCTAGCTTTTGGATTGTTTCCTTGCTACTGTTTTATCCCTGAGCATTAAGTTTGAGGTATATTTAATGTTATGCCAAAACTAGTTAAGAGTTCTGAAGTGCGTAAGTGCAGTCTGTTCCTGAAATTGATGTGATTGCTCTTGAGACAGTGACTAGTTCAGGACAAAATTTTTTCCTCAAAGATTTTTTTCAATGACAAATAATTACATAATGGTCATTTGGCCTAAGACTTTAGGGTATACAGGTATTACATGGCTAGAGAATTAGCTGTAGGTCGAATGGCAGTACAAGAGCTGCTGGCGGAACTGTGGTTTGAATGTGTATCATGTTGGTTCTGCAATATGCTTGGCATCCTGTATTGTATTCAAAACTATTTTTACAGATATATCAATAGTATGCAGTACTGGAAGGTGTATTGAAACACTGGGCTGTTTTATTTACCTGAAATGTTAGTTTAATGACAATTTTGGGTAATCTTGGCTAAAGAAGTTTCTCTTCTGCCCTTCTTCCTCTGTTCCCCCTCCTCCACTATTCCCAGTCCGTTATACTGGCCTATCCATTTTTAGGATTATGTTTCACACCAGTTCTAGAGCTGGCTGGGGATAAAGTATCCTTCCTCGTTTTCAAGGTTATTGTTATGCTGAACAGCATCAGTTAACTAATGTAGTGCAGTTCTGTGAATGCAAATAAACGTAGGTGCACACAGCCTTAAGCAGTCGCCGCTTCTGAAATCCTGATTTTGGGAGAAATAGGTTTATAAATCAAATCTGGCTTTGTAAATCTCAGCTGTGTCTTTTCTGAATTTCATAGGATGCGCTGTGTGTGTATTGCGTTCACTTGTCAGACACAGTAACGTTCTAGTTAACATCGTATGTATCAGTTGTGACAACCCTGTTTAGCTAAGGTAACTTTTAAGTATTACGAAGGCATAGCGAAGCCCTGTAGTTCTAGTGTTGCTAGCTTGCAAACCACTTTTTAATGCAAATACACCAAACTGTTCATATTTTCTTTTTTGCTTCAGAATCAACTTAGCCAGTGTAGTAATGCCCTGGAGAGTTCTGAAGAACTGCTAGAACTTGCTGCGCAGTCACTGGACATAAAGGACCCTGTGGAATTTTCAAAGGTAGAAAACATTAAACTGATGTGCATAAGGCAGGTGCTGATACTTGTCTCAATTTGAAATAGCCTTTGCATTGCAGAGCTTGGCATTACAGGCTTATCAAGAGTACCAAGAGTAAGGATGGTGAGGCATATGAAAATATGGTTAATCCTCTCCTGGGTCTAAGTGCTGCAGTCTTACCAGTTTTAAAGTAGCTTTTGTCAAACTGGTCTAAGTAGCTTCAGTATTTAGAGAACTGTAAACTGTAGTCAAGGTGTAATGTGATTGAGTTTCCACAGAACTTGCATGACTGACCTGAAGTTCAGTCAGTTTTTTGTAGTTTAATTGGCACTAAAAGCCTGCAGTACCTGTGCATCCGTGGGTACTACCTTGGAGGTCTAGTAACTCCATCAGAAGTGCAAAATGAGCTTGGAAATACCTGTAATAGACAATTTCCAGTTTTACCCGTTGTGGAACCAAATCTGAGATATATGTTGCTGCATTGTGGATGTGTAGGATCTGCAGTGGGAAAGGAATTGCAAGCTGTAGAGCCTATGCTCAGTCACAGTTTAAGGAGGCTACTGCGCTAGCCTATTTCAGTCTTCAGTTTAAGTACCAGTGTCACTTAAAACCGCAGGTACCAGGAGAATTTGAGACCTTATGTGCTCAGCTGTGAGGCCAGACTTCATTTGTCCTGCATGGTAGCTAATATATTCCGTCTCTAACAAATAGATTTTTTTTCTTACTCGGAGTGAGGCGGGGAGGGAAAGGAATGCCTTCTCCTGCGTAGCTAACCATCTATATTAAGCAAATCTGTGTTGATGCTAGGTAAGTGAACGCAGGAAGTGAGAGTGAAATAAATCGGTATAGGACAGAACCAAAACTCAGTAGCAAGTTCAGCCACACCAAATCAAAGACCCAATTACTTTTGTCTTTCTGCATTTTAGCTGGAACAAGGACACAAATTACTTCAAAACAAGTGCAGAAAGCTGTCTTAATATGTGAATTATACCTTTTGACAACATATTTGTGTCCTGTCTTGCTTGCTTCTTGAGTCTCAGCTTTGGTTCATTTGCCTTGAAGAATGACCATTTCTAAACTAAATATTTTACTTAGCACTTCAGTTTGAGTTGTCTTTTTTGGCTTATCAAGGTGATGTGTGATGACTGAATTAGCTCTGAAGCGCTATGCAAGGTGTTCCTTTGGATTCCTTGTAAGTTGGTTGTTTTTCAGGTCATCTCTAATGCTTCTTTTCAATCAAATATTCTAAGAAGAATTATTTTTTTGAGTTCTTGTGAGGGGAGTATTTTTTTAACATTTAGAATTTAAGGCTTAAGATAACTAAAAACTAATTCAATTCACTCTAGTATTTGAAACTTGCGTTACATTAACTTGAACTTGGAAACGTGCTTCAGTTATTTAAAGAAAATACTGCCTTGGCTGTTGGCTAACTAAAGCTACCTCTAAACTAATATAAATACCAACTGCTGCTGACAGGGCAGTTCCATCCCCAGCTACTTTTCATTGGTACCAATTTTAATTGGCTTCTGCAGTAATTCAGTTCAAGAGAAATTAGCATAAAACTGAACATTTTCTTTATCTCTTTTTCTTAGATTTTTTTTTTTAATGGCATTATTCTCTGAATTAGCTCATCTTGAAGCCAAAAGAGCATGGATGCCAGCACAAGGGAGGGCTTAGTGGCTGGATAGGATGTAGTTTGACACTGTTGTGCGACAGGCTTGAGATGGACTGATACCTTCCTTGTCGCGGGCCTGGAAACAAAGTAAATTCAAAGGAATTTGGCCTATCTTGAAAGGCACTGTTCATTGAATCCTGGGTGCCACCTATTCCAAAAGATGTAGAGATTATGAAGGAGACTTTAGTTTATGAGAAGTGCTTTCTTGTCTACAGCTGTCATATAGGAGAATCTATTAGTTTCTACAATAGCTTTGTTATATGTTAAGACAAAATTATCTCTTAAGCTAAATTATTTCTAAATGTTTTTTTCATTTTTCTGCTTTGAGAATATCAAATTGGTTTTACAGCAGGGGCAATTGTGATCCTCCCCACCCACCTCCTGTCCATTGAGTGTGCTTTGTATCTAATAAAATATTTTGAAGTATTCTAACTTTAAACTTGTAACTTATCTGATGTTTCTTGTCCTTTCTTTGAAGGGAAAGTAGTTTGGCTGAGTGGCACCGTGGATCAAATAGCAATGTTAACCCCAAACAGGGGATCAACATGTCTGTCTAAGCCATTCCTTAACTTACTACAGTAACTTTTGGTTTTACCTTTGCAGTTCCTCTTGGTAAAGGAGGGGGATTCCGTCTTTCTAAATGCCAGTGAAAGCTTACCTTTGAAATATACTTATTACTGTTTCTGCATCTGCTTCAGTGATATCATTAAAATGCTGTGGAAGACTCCAGTAATCTGTGATTTTTGAATATAGGCATAAGGAGAGAACCTTTTAGGAAGCATTGTCTGGGTAGTACTGTAACTTTCAGAAGAAACATGAACGCAAGTCGCACTTTTTTCCTCACCCGTCAAGATGCATCTTGGACAAGTTGGTGTGGAGGAATGCTGTGCATAAGCACTTTCAGTGAAATTTTTGTATAAAGTACTGTGCTAGTTCAAACTTGTGAACTTGGTCATTTAGCTCTTTTGAAATGTGAAGAAAAATAACTTAATGGAGGCAGGGAAATCTAAAGAGACAAAGAAGTTATACTCAGGAAGCGGAGTAATTTGGAATTGATTTGGTGTGGCTCTTGAGATTTGTTATCAGGTGATCCACTGTTGCAGTTGTAACCACTACCGTTAACATGCTTTATGGGAAAATTTATTTTGATACACATGTTAAACTCATTTTGATCTTCAAATCTGAGCACCACGGTTCTGAGGTAATGCTCAGTCTTCTTGCATGTTACTGCCTCTGAGACTTGCATGGAAACGCTAACTACCTTTTCTCTCTTCTCCCTGATGTGCATCAAGGCTGCCAGACAGATCAAAGATAGGTACAGTACCAAGTCTACACTTTTTGTCTCTTTGAATTAATCTTGTTCTTGAAACTGCATTTATTTTTAAAGTGACACAGTCAACTTAAATCAAATTCATTCTGACTCTCTGCTCCTTCCTAAATGTTCCTGGTGACATCACAGCTTATGAAAGAACAGTGAAAACCTGTATCCTTTTACCTTTTGGTATTGTTCCTTGCTGACTGTGGGCCTTTCATACCTTTAATAAAGAGAAAGATGTTTTTAACACAGGGAAATATAGCTCTGAAACAGCAACACTTCAGGTTGATTATTTCCCAATTACTGAAATGGAATAATGCTTCCAGTTGACTGTATCTCTTTAAATTATGAAAGACCCTTGGTCTTTTCTTAATACTTAAGATGAGCTTTTGCTAGCTAATGTTCCTTTTGAATATAAAGTCTTGTAGCTGTTTAAATGTTTCCAGTGACATCGCTGGGGTGGATGTCAGTGAATTCACTATCTCTAGTTGTTTTTCTTTGTTTCTTCAAAGCATTATTCAGAAAGCTAAGCTTATAGCTTAGCTTCACGATAAATGCTAAGGCCATCTTTCCTCACTTGGAACAGTAGTAATTATGCTCTGAGGCTCTGGTCTTCTGATTCAGAAAACTTATGTGCTCTATGTAATATTTTGAGACAGCCCACAGGGTGTTTCCAGCATGTGCTACTCATTGACCAAATAAGTTTCCTTTAATTTACAGGTTTTCAGGGAGGAATCCATCCAGTTTTTCTGAAGTTTATTGTAAAATTAGTGACTGTTAGAGAAATTAGTCTTTGCTTCTCCGTAGGTAGATAACTAATCCTTAGCAAATCATATGAAGAGTGGCACTGGTAGGAATCTTCAGACATTTTGACCTGGAACAAATATCTTTTTATTTCTTCTCATTTGGTGTAATGCTCTAGTCTAATGCTGTTGAACCAGCTCTGGCTGGCGCGGTGTAGAATCTCCGCATCTAAACAGAAGTTAAAAGCTGTAGCTGTAGTTGACTATTCAAAGGATTACTCTTCCTTGGTGAAATGTTTACTCCTAACAGTCTGGCTGAACAGCTCAATCTGATAAGCGACCCATACTGGGTTTCAGAAAGTCAGCTCTGTCTTGGGAAATCGCTTGACCTGTCTCCTCTGTGCTCCTTTCAGGCTCATAATTGTCTTCTGTTTCCGAAAGTAGTGACTCTTACCATTCTTAGCCCACTCATATCTTTGCTATCCAGCCTCATATTACTTCCCCCCCCTTATCTCTGCCTAAAATTTTGATCTTTTTCACCGTTCTTTAATGTAACTGTGGTTAACACGCAACCATTCTTATATACTAGTGAAGTACTTAGTTTTTAGTAGCTCGCAGGGGGTGATAAGCATTAGGTGTTCCAAAGATGTCAAAGATCTATGAGTGTGAAGTGGATACAGGTTTTTGCAGTTGATTTTTTTTTTTTTTTATTGTGGTGAGTATACTTCTTTCGATGTGAGAATCTTTTTAAAGCAGGGAGAGGACCTGTGTGCTGTCTCAATTTTATTGAAATTCTGCTGTATGGCCTGATATCTTAAGAGTTAAGGAGTTAGATAAGAGGTTTGCTCTCCTTCTGGTTTGATCTGTCCATACAGAATGGAGGTGCTATTGTAAAAGTAGTCAAAATAAAGACTAAGCAACATTTCAAAAGTGGAAATGGGAGTGTTTAACTGTCTTATGCTTCAGTGTCTCTTGTAAGACTGATCCAGCACTTGCATGTATGCAAAACGATATGGTGTCCGCAACCTAACACTTCTCCATCCCCAAATAAGACAAAAGGTATATGTGAAATCAGAATATTCAGCCTCTTCGTGGGTATTTATAAATGCCCTCTGAGTAATACCTAACACTTAAACTCATCCCACTTGGGAGGCAGTTAGGTGGATCCTGCTTAGTGGGAAAGTCTTTTTATATTTTTAATCCAAAGATTTTACTTTCAAATTTCTGAGTATATAATTCATGAGGTTAATTCTTCAGTGCTTTAGACATTTTAGAAATTCACATTAGTGAATCACTTTGTGTGAAATGATTGTTCTTCCTTTTGTTTGACTAGTGAAAAAGAACCCAATTCTGGGCCGTGGAAGAGATGAGGCTTAAAGCTTTTCTCCATTCACTCTTATTATCTTTGTCCTAGTAAAATGGAATCACTGGGAGCTCATGCCATATGCTTTTAGTAAGGCAGTCTTGTTAGCAAAACTTTGTAGTTTGGAATCTTTGCTAAATGTTTTTATAATTATTTAACGTGCTGGACTTTGATCAGAGAACAGTATTTTGGCTAGCAATTTGAAATTCATGGTACAGACCATCTCATTACTGTCTCTGAAAGTGACTACAGTACTTAAAAAAGGCAAACTGCATTTTGCTAATGCTTTTCTCTTGACTTTAGAGTTACAATGGCTTCAGCATTCCGCATTTCTCTGAAACCAAAGGTCAGTGATAGTATGACTCATCTAATGGTGGACTTCTCCCTGGAGAGGCTGCTGCTGCAGGCTGTAAAGTTTTTGCCAGGTAAAGCTGTATGCAAGGCATCTCATTTCTATATAGCAGATTATTTAAGTAGTAACAACTCCTACATCCTCATGAGCAAATTTTAAGGGTGCCTAAACTTGTTTTTATATTTTTGATGTTAAGCTGAATTCCTTGAGGTTAAAGTGGTTTTCTGGTTTTGTTGTGTTAATTTTCACATTATATTGGCACTTCAAAAAACATCTATCTCATAAGTGAGAATGAGTTTTCCATACAATGTATTTTTAGCTGTCTTGTGCAATTTCTGAGAGTCCTGGAAGAAGTAATTTTTCTTGAATACGTTCTTGAGGCATTGATTCCTCTATGTTTCCTAGAGATACCTTACATTTCTTAAGGCGGTATCTACTAGTTTGAAGCTTTTAGTGACACTCCGGAGTCCATTTTCAGTAATCTGCAATAGTGTTATGCCTGAAGCTCTCAGGTAGCATGCCACTTCTCAAGACGACAGTGAAAAGGTCAAAAACACAGACAGTGATAAACTAGGGCAGTGAAACTTCTGGTGTTAACAAAATCTTTATCAAAACTCCTATTTGTTACCAGTTTACTGCCATTAAACTCAATGTTCCGGTGCATATGTCTCTTCATTCAAATTTCCTTCATATTTAAACCACTTTGCCCTTGACTCCTACTAAGAATATCTTGGCAAGAATACTGCTGGCAGGGATGTTAATCTCTCCAAATCTGTTAAGGACTTGGCCGTATCAGTTTACACTTCTGGCCGTTTACGTTCTATGATATGGATACAGTATATGGTAACAGGCTTAGTGAATTGCCAGTGTTGTTATTGGTGGTCAGCTAGCAGTGTGTCCAGGCAGAAATTCCCACTCTGTTCTTGACCTCTGGATGGCAATCACAGCTCTGCAGTCTGTACATATGGGAACAAGCTAGATAAGCTGGTCAGTGCCCCTGTTTGACAGGAATATGAGTAAGTGTTAAGATGTGACTACAAGCATGAATGAAATCTTTTATTTAGATGAGGATATTCTTTAGTATGGCCCTTGTTATACATGCATTTTCCTTACTAAGATGTAGAAAGTCTATTAAATTATTATTTGGACTTTTCATCTGGAAACAAAATCAACTGCCTGGATCAAGCTTGATGCCTTTTAATGCAACTCCAAGCTATCAACTTACTCTGTTTGTTACTGAACCCTGATAGTATTTACCACAGCTCAACCTATAATAGATAGAACTGCACTGGTCATTGATGGGCTTTCACCCATCAGGGGATACTAATGATCTCCTGCGGGAAGGTGAAAACAGGCTTCATGCCATGATAATTATGTGTTTGAACAGTGCTCGCCAGAAGGATGCGGAGAACTTAGTCATTCTAAACACACGAAAGACTGTCATGGTGCGAGGCACCAGATAAAAATAATGGGAAGAGGTGCTTAAACTTGTGTATGTTCTGAAATATTTGTCCTCATCTTGGTTTCTTTTGCCTAAGAGAGGATGATATTGATATTCTGAAGTTATGGTTGGATGATTTTGAAATTTGATAGCAAATGCACTTGAATATCTCATTAGCACTTGAGACTTGTAACTCAGTCACTTCTATACAGTTTTTCTCAAGCGTTTAAACCTGTGCCAGTTTGAACATGCTTCCTGCTTGGTTTCAGCTACAAGGAAGTTGGAGAAAAAGGATACGCTTGAGCAGTGCTGGGTTAAAATATTTGAACAAATAGTTGCTAGAATGTGTTAAATATGGTGCATAAAGCAAACTAGGCTTTTGCTTCTTCTGAAGCTGCTGTAGCTACCAATGTTTTAATCTAGTTGATAGGGTTACTCATCCCAAAACGTGACTCTTAACTATAATGACTCATTAATTTTAGTGGAGAATTGCTGTGCAGTCAATCTCTTGAAGAAACAGTAATTTCAGCTTGTATGGTGAAAGGTTTGCATTTAGCACTTTGTCACTGGAACATGATAACTATGCAGAAGAAACAATACACAAGTAAGGATTTAAGTGTGAGATGTGGTGATATTTGACAAATGAATCTGTAGGCCTACCAGTCCCGCAGAGACGATTCAGTATTGTATTTTCTTGACTTTCCTGCCTGATATGTTGACTTGGAGGTTGCTTCTTATCTGTTTTAAGTTGTTGCAGAAACAATGAAGAAGCTTTTGCAGACTCTTCCTCCAAAAACTGTAAACAAAAAACATTTTTTGATGTTTTTGATGTTTATCCAACAAAAGTCTTCCTGTTGTACTTCAGATACTACAACAATGTCTCTTTAAAAATATATATATATGTATCCAGTGACTTAAGCACTCTGCAATTTCTTGAGAATAGATATAAAAAAACTTTTTAAAGACCAAAATGCGTCTTAGGCATTCTTTCCTGTTTTCTCAAGACAAACAATGAGAAGGAAGGAAAACCAGATAACTGCTGACTGGCTAGTGGAAACTATTATACTGTTACAGTTGTCTATAGTGGAGGAAGAAAGCTAAGTAATAGTATTGTTTGAGGGCTGTGAATGCATATGCCTTCCAAAGACTCAGAACAAAAAGAGTTAACTCCTTAATGTTTTTCCTTTATAAAGTTCTTATCCTAAATGTAGGCTCACAGTTGTAAGGCCTCTGTTCTAGCATGTACGTCTTACTACCTCTAAAAGAGGACCAACCCAGCTTGCTAACAAAACACGAACGTCTGGAAAATGTGGTACAGAAATTAACTCTAGAGCTAATGTGCGTTTCTTTCACTTAACGCACAGCTTGCAAAACACTGGAACGTGACACGCTCAGTCTCTTATCGTACTTTGCTAATGGAACATAGCACCTAAAAGGAATGTGTTGCTGAGCTGAAGGCAAGTTCTGACCTCTGTAATCCAGGGAGAGCCAATTAATATTCCGTCTTTTTTTCTTTTCTGCAGTTCCTAAAGCTCCAGAGATAGATATTGCAGCATGTCTGGTTGCTGATAACTGTATAACAGTATCATGGAGAATGCCTGAAGAAGACAACAGAATCGATCACTTCATACTGGAGTACAGGAAAACCAACTTTGATGGACTTCCTCGAGTAAAAGATGAACAGTGCTGGGAGCTAGTAGACTATATTAAGGCTACTGAATACACGTTATCAGGTAAAGATTGTTTATACTTCAAAAACAAGAAAGTAATCTAACTGTTTGTGCTTGGAACTTTTGTTTTAAAAACCCTCCTATTTAATGAAGCTTCCATTGTTTCATATTAATCTTGAATGCTTTTTATAATAAAGGCTTTGAAACATATTTTGATTTTGAGGTTTTATGTTAAAAAAAAAAAAAAGTGGTAAATGAAGTTCATACCGATATATTTGAGTTTATTTAATGCAGACTGAAATAAATAAGACAGCTATATGAAGCAGATTTTCGTCTTGTTAAGATTGTCCACAATTAATTCAAGTTTCTAAATTTCCACTTTCTTAGGTCTGAAATTTGATACAAAGTATATGAACTTTAGGGTACAGGCTTGCAACAAGGCTGTGGCAGGGGAATACTCTGATCCTGTGACTCTGGAGACGAAAGGTAAAATTTGAAAGGCTATAAACTGAGATGTACTGAACAATCTGTGCATAGATGCATTTAGTCCTGCTTTCATATCTGAACTTGTATGTTAAAGGCCATATTTCAGCAGTGCTTGGGGAAATTAAGCAGTTAGTGCAGCTTGCTGGTGATTGGCACTTTGCATGTGACAGGTAATGGCCCTTTGTAAGTAGAAGGTGCTGAAAAGCATTTTTTGACGCTGTAGCTATAGATTCTGATCATGGTCCGTGTCTAAAAGATAAGCAGCCTCACATTGCTGTGGTTATTAAGACACTGTGTTAAAATCAGTTGATCCAAGAGTGGTAGCTTCCTAATATCCAATTGTAAATAAACTAAAAACAATTTTGTGATGCTTTCTATCCTTGAAGCTGAACTGATGCTTTATAACAGAACAGAGACCTTGACTATTCGCACAGTCCTGATGGTTTCATTGTAGCAACATAAAAAGGATAAAATGACTGCTAAGCATGAGATAATTAAAATACTAATTCTGTTTCTAGTAAATGCTACTTCATTAAAAGCAAAGCTGTACGAAGTCTGCACGAGCATGTGTCCTGTAACTTCTAAAACTAATTGAATTTTTTTAGCAACAGTCACTGTATTCAGTACTTCCATTTTGCTTACGTTCCTTACTCTAGTATCAGAAACCAACCAGATTTTGATTATTTGGTGGTTATCATGCTGCCCATGTTAACTCCAGTGTGTGTGTGCACCTTTAACACTTAATCCAGTTCACTTTCTTTAATGCTTGGCCCATAGAAATTCTGTACTTGGTCCATGTGCCTGCTTTATTTTTTCAGACTTCTATGCTGTTGTTGAGTTTTGAATTTGCAAAGTCTAAAGTATACTTTTTCAGCAGCTGCCTGTAATATTTGGTATTAGGACACTTACAAAATGAGCTGTAAATATCTTAGTGATTCAACGTGCTGTTAGTTTTGTTTCATTGTATGAAGGATTTAGCTGCAGGTAATAGTCTGCTAGCTGCACGCACGCTCTACTGTTCTAATATCTGCAGCCTGCTCTGCAGTTCAATTTTGTATGCCTGTATGTACTATCCTATCAATTTCACATTCTCTAGGTTCAAAAAATCCTTTTCAACCGTAAATGCATTAGAGAATTGGGGCTGTCGAGTGTGAAAAATGAGCGTAGCTTGAAATCATTCCCCAAATTTGTACGATTGTGAATAGGCTGCAAATAGCAGGAAGCACTGATTCGCTGGTTGAATTTAATTGCTGGCCCCATTGCCTTATAAAGATGAGAACTTGCTTTGATATAAGTATAGCTGAAGATAAGTAACTGCCCTTTATTTGAGGGGTTCTTTATCTTGGTTATAAGCATCAAACTAGAAAGCTGACATTTCTGTAAAGTTGCGTAGTGCTGTGCTACAAGTTTTCCACTGTTTCTGTCTTTTTGTATAAACAGCCATCAAGGGGAGAGAACACTATACCTTTTCACTGTTTCATGTTTTGTCTTGACTAGCATTTGTGTTCAATTTGGACAATACTTCGTCTCATCTGAACTTGAAAGTTGAAGATACTTATGTTGAATGGGATCCTACTGGAGGCAAAGGCCAAGAAAAAATAAAAGGAAAGGAGAATAAAGGCAGGTAAGAATTCTAACTTGGTTTGTAAAGATCTGTATTACCTGGAATGCCTTGTCTGGCAATTGAGGGAAGGAGAACCCTGGAAAATCAAAACACTTTCACCTCTCTGGTTATTCATATGGCTGGTAGAACAGTGGCACACTGAAGGAGGTTTGACTTGATGTTGTTCTCTGGAAAAAATGTTTGTTACAGGGAAGGGAAATAAAAGAATGAAGACGTGAAGAAGCTTATTATGGAATCCGTTTAAAGTGTTTTTTAAACATAAAGTAGAATTTAAGTCTTTTTAAAATATATTAGGATATTATTCAAGGTGCTAAATGACTTGTGCAAGAGGCAAATGTCAGAGTTAACTGATCTTCAGCTCTAATGTTCTATGGTCGGCAGTGTTGCAGGCCAATACCGGTGAGTGGCCAGCTTACCTATTATCCAAAATAAGGAAGGAGTGGGCTGTTGTGTCTTTTCGAAAAAGCTAAAGTTAAAATAAATAGTGCAAAAGGAGATGATCTGAGTTTATCTCAGAGCTCTCATTGAGGATAAGGTAACAATAAAACATACCAATACTAAAAGATACTGGTAATAGAACATAACTCCTGCAAAAATTGCAGGCTTAAAGATATTTATCAAGTATTTTCATCTAGAAAAAATATTTAAGTGTTTTCAAAGTTTTTTGGATTATTTCTCGAGCATTAGGCGCTAAGTGCTTACTGTTCAGAATTACAGAGTAAATAGGGTTGGAAGGACCTCTGAAGTCATCTGTTCCAACCCCCTACTTTAAGCAGGGCCAACCAAATTGGGCTGATCTACTCTTTGTCCGGCTGAGCATTGAATATCTCAAAGGGTGAAGAATCTGCAACCTCATTGAGCCTCTGTTCTTAGGCCACACTACTGGGGAGGAGAGGAACACCCTAATAACAGATAGAAGTCTGCTATGTTGCAGCTCATGGCAAGTGCCTCTGAACCTGTCGGACGCTGAGAAGAGTCTAGCTCCATCTTCTGGGCCCTGCTGTTATGTAGTTGAAGAGAGCAGTCAGATCAGCCTCTCTTGTCTTCCTGAGGCTGAGCAAAGCCAATTGTCCCAGGCTTCTCCAGTGCCCCGGTCCCTTAACTGGAGGGCTGTTGGCCCTCCGCTGGACTTGCTGCAGCGCGTAGAGAGTCCGTGCAGTGCTGGGGAGCCCGGAAGTGGAGGCGGGACTCCAAACGGAGCCTGAGAAGGGGCAGAACGAGCGGACTGGTGTCTTCCCTGGACGTCCTGGTCGCTGTCTTGCTGCTGCAGCAGCGCAGCACGGGTCCGGCGGTTGGGGTGTGCTGCAGGGTGGCCTTGGCGATGTTCCTGTCTGCTTTCCTCTCCATCCTGTTGAGGTGCCTCTGAAGAGCGGGCCTGTGCTCCAGCGTATTGCGTGCTCCCTCGGTTTGGTCTGGTCCGGTCCACCAAGTAGCTGAGGGGTCAGTCCTTGCCACGCTGCCAGGCGGTCTTAAAGCTGTGAAGCAATGCAGGCCGATCCTGATGATGGTGAAGATGCCAGGAGTGACCAAGGAGTGGGCGGACTCGGTGCAGCTCATCAGCTGTGAGGCTGATAGAGCTAGTTCGGCATGCAGCTCGCGGTGCAGTTGTGCAGTGCGTATCGCCTCCCTTTAGGTGTGGAGCCCTAGAGGGGGAGTGGGTCCAAAGCCTTGCTGAAGTCAAGGTGGAGAGCATGCATTGCTTTCCCCTTGTCCACAGGGCCAGTGACTCCTTCCTGAAAGGCAATCGGGGTGATTAAGCATGATTTAGTCTTAGGTTTCCAGTTTGCCTTTTTGTTAGAAGGAGCATGGACTAGGGTAATTTGTGAACAAATACCTCCGCTATTGGTATGTACTACGAGAGGCATGATAGCAAAAACTTTAGTGGCATCTTAGAACTGGGAGTAATGTTCTTTATCTAATAGAAGCATTGTTTAATAACTGCTTATTTCTGTCTGACAGTGGCCAGAATCCTGTACTGAAGAGCAATAAAAGGTGATAACATACCTCTTATTTCTAGGACCTAGCTTCTAGTTTTGCAGCAGTCTTCAGTACTTTATTTCTCTCCTCCTAGATCAAGCAATCTAATAGCCTTTGTCAGTAACTAAGGCAGAACATCTGTGCTTCTAATATACTTTAGAAATTTACTTTGGTTTCATTGCGATGTATATGTTTTCCAGTGGCTAGAAAAACAAAGTTCATGGAAGGATAGTGACTAGAGTGTGAGACCTGATTTGCCATAATAGTGCATTATATATTCAAGTCTCAGTGTGAAGATGCGTGTTACTTATAGGCCTTTGAGGCTTAGAGTCTCCTGGCACATGATGTCATGCTAGATTTTTCACAAATGCAGTCGAGAGTTTATTTCTGAGAGTTTAAACTAATTGTGTTAATTCTTATTTTTGAATAAAATACTACTTGCCACTGAAGTCTTGCTATATCTGCCATTAAGCATCGGAGACCAAATATCGACGACTAGCATGGAGTTTTACTTTCAACTAGGCTGACCTTCGTGGCAATTCTAGTTACTGACTCAAATGTTCAAAAGAGAAATAATGTTTCCAGTATGTAAAAGCAGTGAAAATACTCAACTACTCTTCCCTGTGCGATTGTTTTCAGTATAAACTTTTTAATATTTTTTCTTTTTAAAAACAAACAAACAAAAAACAACAACCAAAAAACCCCCCAAAACCCTCCTGGCTGGAGAATCACTTATTTCCTCCTTTTTGTTCTTTCAGTAGTATCAGTGATTTAGAAGCTGCAGGACCAAACCAAATGCACAGGCTTTTCATTTCTTTTAGGCATTACTGTTTGTATTCCTCAGTCATATTTTTTGCCGGAGATCAGTAGTAACAAATTGATGTGCAGTGCCTTAGTTCAAGAGGTATTTTTCCCTGTGCATGCATCTACCTCAGGAAGCATACCTAGTTCTGTTAAATTCAGTTTTAAAACTTTCTAGTATGTCACTGTGCACTACAAACTCAAAGTCTTACGCATTGTTTCTTGCTGTATTTGTCAGTAAAGACATTTCTGCTTCTGGCCTTTACTTCTGTAGAAGAGTCATCTGTTCAGCTTTGCCTCTGAGGCTGCCCTTTACTAGCAGGAGGTTTAGATGAGCTTTCATTCTTGCAGAAGGCCTTTCTTCCCTGTAAGAGTATCTATGCAAATGTTTTACATTAGAGGGGAAACTTCATGCTAGCTCCATGCTTGATGAAAAGATGGTCCTGGAGTGTACTTTTTTTATGTTAAACATCAACTTTGCAACTTTCAAAGCCTGGGAAGACACTGATGCGCGTAAGATACAAAACAGGTTTAATAGACTGGAATAAAGCCTGTAGGTAACTTCAAATGTCTCTTGTGCTTTCTTCTCTGAAAGACAATGCATATTCCTTAAATTGTGTACTCTTATCTAAAATGGGTAAGAAAGCTATGATTAACGGCAGTGCTGTAGATGACAATCCTAGTCGTAAGACTAGCATATTTTGTCACTGAATAGTAGAAGAAATGCATCAATTTACTAGTGCAGCTAATGAAAATTGTTGTGCTATATTAGAAAATCAGCACAGAACCGATTTCTGTGAAATTTTCTACCTTTTTCTTTTGGAAGATAAACTTTACCATGGAAAAATATATACCGATTTTTTCAAACCAGCCAATGCTAAATGTCACTGTCTGAACTGTTAAAGGCTGTTAGACTTGAATGGAGAGAGTCCACCCAGTGGCCATTTACTGATGATTTGAACAAAATAAATGGTGTTGAAGACCTGTTCACGTCTTCATAATGTTGTGGAAAAATTTAGCCCAGCGCCTGCTTTTTCCTTACCGTGCTTCTTTAAATGGCCACGCTGCTTTCTGCATAGCTCATTTGTACCTGCTCTAAAAAGTCTTTCTTTTTTTATCGGAGTGCAAGTGAATGGTCTCTGTGGTGGCGCATTTGAAGTAGGGTGGAATCTGCAGTGAGTGGTGTGCTTTCCCTTAAATTATGCTTTAATTCTTGCCTTTGCTGTTTTTCTTCCATGCAATCGCTTGCTGCTTTTTCTTTTGGTAAGTAAACTACAGCTTTTTCCCTGTGAATTCAAAAGCACTTGTCATGGCCTGCACTGTTGCACAGTATACACTTACCATTTTCATGTAACCCTTGCAAGCAATTTAGAAGCTTGTGTGGCTTCTGATCAATACCGGCAGATTTATATGCTAAATTAGGGGTGTTAAGGTAGACAACAGTACTTCAAGCAGTTTGAGAGTATTGATTTCTTGTAGGCTCCTGTAACTGAATTAAAAAGAAATTTAGTCATGTAGATAGAACCAGAGATTCTAGCATACTTCTCTGTGAAAAAGTTATGGCGCTCAACTTTTTTTTTTTTTTTTTGTTAATGTCACTTTGTAGTAATAATGGTATTGAGAAAAAGGGACTTTTTTGTCTCTTTGTGAAGCTTGAAGTCTGTGTTGAATGAATCTGAAAGGAAGCAAACTAAACTTCCCCGTAACAGGCCTGGACACTTCAGCAAAGTTGGAGAAAAAGCATTTATTTTTGTGGTAATGCTTCAAAGGTTGATATGTAATAAATTAGAAGGGGTGAGCATTTTCAAGTGACTCTCTGTGTGCATTTCCATGTTGTTCTTGCTTTTCTTATTGTTTAGAATCTTTGTTAATAACATTAAACTGTAGACTGCTTAGTCACTTCTGGAAAGTTAAAATTTGTTATTGTCTGTAAAAACAAAAACCTGAGATGATTCCGTGGCTACCAAGCTTTAACTTTTTTTATAGCTTGCAAATAGGTGCCTTAATTTTGTTTAATGATTCAATTGCTAGGTATTATTTTTGAGGCCGTAACCAAAGTAAAATAAATTGTTTAAAAACTTCATTAGGATAAAATTGTTCTCTTATGCAAGTGATTCCTCATTAGACTGTTCTCCAGAGCAAGGTGTTTCTTCATTTATTTTGCTATTGCTTCCAGAGAATGCTTTTGGAAAGTGTGATTAGAAGATGTAAGCCTTTCTAGACTGGGATTAGGTACATAAACTTGGTAACAACTCTTAAAAGAGCTGTTGTGTGCTTCTCAGCACAATTTACTGTGACATGATTTTATTTTCTGTAGTCTTTAAAGAAATAGAAATGTAGCTAAATAAAATCCCTACCTTTCATACTTTTGATGTTTGATCTTTTTAGGAATAAAACCATGGTTGTGGTGCATTTGAAAAATCAGAAGTCTCACCTTGTTTTTTCCTTATAAATTATGTATAGATTTGACACTTTTGGCTTAGTGTATCATCTTCAATGTGTGCATTTTGTAATAAAACTATTTTACTCTTTTTGAAGTTCTTTATTATTCGGGTTGCACTTCTTTCCTGGGATTTCATTCGTTGTTTATGTAAGCCCTACCTGTGCTGAAAAACCTACCTTGAACACATAACTGATGTGACTTTCTTCATTCCTTGATGCTTAAATTCCAGTGAACGTAGTTAGATATCTTTGTATTGAGTACTGGCAGTGGATTCATACTTACCTGATTCTTGTTGCTGATCTACAAGGTTTATTATTAGAGGTCTTGGGCAGAAAAACAGCCACCTGAACTCTCTAGGTTTCTATGTGATACAGGCAAAATGCTAAGCTTTATACAGACGTGCGTTCAAACAGTGCCACACACCTGCCCTTTTTTCTCCTGTTTCCGTTCTTAACTGCTTTTGGACTTGTTTCACTACGCTGTCTGGCATCTGTTCTGGCTGTTGCCTCTTCCCTCTCTGTTCTCCTTGTGCATGTGTACTAGCTCACTACTGCTAGGTGTTAAGTGTGACTAATGGCTGTCATTTCAGTAGTTTTTTGTATGTTTATTGCAACTTGATTGAATCTTGCTTGGAAAAACTTCCTTAGTTTGCATTTCTGTAATAGCATGCAAATCTTGCACGTTCTTTCCTCCTTAGAAGTGGTACACCATCTCCAAAGAGGACATCTTTTAGTTCAAGATCCTTAATGAGAGGCAGCAGAGATCGTTTTACTGGTGAATCATACACAGTGTTGGGTAAGGTGAACTTCTCACTTCTAGTAGGTGTGTAGTGCTGTGGAAGGGCAGCTTAGGTAGGAATCTGAAGGAAAAATTTGAGTTCGTTCAAGGCTGTGAACATTGGAATATCCTGCCACAGCAAATGTCTTGAAGTCTTTTGAAGATCCCTCCTGTGAGGCTCTTAGTGACTGACGGTCACTGCTGTTGAATGTGGGTTCATATTAGATACAGCTCTTTTCAGTGAATGTAAGTAAAAAAAACTGTCTCTGCATTCTACTTTACAACTGTATCTTCCTATTTACTAGTAAATTAGACTTTTTTGTTTAGATATTTTTGTATTTCTTAGTCTTGAACTTAAAAGGAGATGAAACTGAGCAGACCTCAGAGGTGCCTGCAGAGAAGCCAACGCTAAGGTATACTTACTTATCAGGACTAAAAATATTTTTTTGTAGGAGACACTGCTATTGAAAGTGGACAGCATTACTGGGAGGTGAGAGCCCAGAAGGACTGCAAATCCTACAGCGTGGGAGTAGCATATAAAAACCTGGGGAAATTTGACCAGCTGGGAAAGACTAATTCGAGCTGGTGCATCCATATCAACAACTGGCTGCAAACCACATTTTCAGCAAAACATAATAATAAAGCCAGGACTCTAGATATACCTGCTCCAGACAGAATAGGAGTATACTGCGACTTTGATGGAGGTAACTTATGATTTTATGAAATCTAGATAAAGTTATCTGACTAAAAGTGTCAAGTTAAAGCAATAACAAGGCTATATAAGTAGCCTGTAAGTACATTAGTGTTACTCCTAGACTGATAGTCCCCTACAAAAATAAGGGACTGAGCACTTTTATGTAATACTGCTTGTAGTGCCAAGTGACACTACTGTTTGTGTGACAGAGCTACTGACTGAGAATTTTTCGATAGTGGGGACTCTGACAAGATCTGTACTTAATGTGTTCTAGAGACTTCTCCCTGGAAAAGCAGCAATCTTAGATATTATTGCTGGGCAGATCTTTGTAAATATTTCTTCTTTTTTACCTCTTCTAGGTCAGCTCACGTTTTATAATGCAAACTCAAAGCAACTGTTATATCCCTTCCGAACAAAATTTACCCAGCCATTACTACCAGGCTTCATGGTCAGTATCTGAAAATTTTATTCCATTTATAGCACTGAATTCTCTTTAGAATACAATTATTACTTTTCAGTAAAGGAGGAAACTGGGAACACAAGTTTGTTTGACTAATACTATATAAATGTTTATTGACTGTTTCTTCTTTGACTTCACATGGTACTTTTAACAGCCCTTCCCTTCAACAGGGGGAGCTCTCCACCTAGATGTCTCTTGTGTCAGTGAAATGTGATTAAATCCTTGCAGAGTGAATTAATTACATGTTCTGATAGCTGATGAGCCTGCTACAATAGCTGATCCAAACTGGTGCAGCTAGGAGCCCAAGATGCTGAAAGCTGCCAGAGCTGTTGTCATAAGATAGAGCTAGACCAGGTGCTTCCCTCTGAGTCAGAAGATTCTGGCTTTCAAGATACTAAACAGCTCAGTGGGATTTTTCTTGCCAGTCATTTCACTGGTCTGTATAACTTTTATATTGGCTCTAAGCAGTGAAGATTTGCTGCAGTTCTAAAGACTTGAACCTTGCAGAACTCTGAGAAACGGATTATTTACACCTTTTTTTTTTTCCTTTATTAATTTAGATCACTGATACAGGTAACTGAAGTTAGAGACCTTAGTTACATTAAGTAGTGCCGGGAACGTGAATCATGCGGCGAGAGCAGGGTATAGGTCTGAGAAAACTTAGGGATATGGAAGAGACTGACATGCTAGTTCATACTAACAGCTCAGCTGCCTTGGCACTCTAGCTTTAATGTTAGCCTTCAGTAATCTCAATTCAGCCCATGAAAAACACAGTATGGTAGTTCTTGAGCGTCGTTGAGGCAGTTTACGTGGACGTTCTTCTCTCCTGGTATGCAGGAAGAATGGAAAAGAAATAACTTGCCACGGTACCTAGCCTTACATCTAGCATCCAAACACCTAGCATTTTTGCCTATAGAAGAAATATGCCTTTCAATGTATGCTATAGGCTAGATACGCTGACAGTACGTCTAGGTTTTAGTAGCTATTTACTTGAAGGCTGCTAAGCAAGTGGCCTTATTAATCTTTTTTTCAAAATATGGGGAACAGATTAGCTTCAGAACTGTTGGAATACGTGTCTTAGTCATACATCTGGTAATGCTAAGGCTGACTTATAAGTCAGTTCCTCAGGCGTACAGGGAAACACCACAGTTCAGCCTGCTACTTTGAGTCTTATACAGCGTATAGCATGTTATTTGCGTTTTTAGTATGGATGTGGTAGCAGTCTCTTAAAGGCAATGTTTTAGCTTGAATGCTTAAAATAAAAATGGGAAACTACTGAATACAGCTCTCATTCCAATGTATTCATAAACATGGACATCCATACTTTAATTTCACTCAGTTGTGGAATAGAGGTCGCTTGCACCTGTGTGTCTGAAGCATTGCAACTTTATTTTTTGTACTGTACTGTACTTTGTCATAGTTCCATCATGTCACACTAGAACTAAGCACTGGCTTTCAGACACGTGAGCATGGCTTTTAACTATCATTCGAAGTAGTTGCTGCTAGCACATCAGTTCTTGGAGAAGTTCTCCTGTTGGAGGTAAGTCTTAGGGTGTTAATCTTGGAGATGTTTATAAGATCAGACAGATATAATGCCAAATATGTGAAGCATTTTAGACTTCATAGTCAAAATTCTTTAACGTGATTAGAATGTTCTGCGGCATGCTGTGGCTAGAGCGCAAGAGAAGGTAGTTGCAGGCTAGATTTCGTGTTAATTCTACTAGGGGAGGGGAGGAAAAGAGATGTGGATACCTTGAAGTTCAGTTCTGTATTCATTAATTTTTTTTTTTTTTTCTTTCCTTAGATCTGGTGTGGTGGGCTTACGTTGAGTACTGGACTGCAGGTGCCAAGTGCTGTGAAAACACTCCAGAAAAGTGAAAATGGATTGAGTGGTTCAGCTGGCAGTCTAAACAATATTACCGAATAACTTGTCCATTTAAACACTTCTATTGCTGAGCGTTTTTTTTCTATATAGTTGCTACTCACGAAAGCTTGTGAGCCTTGGATTAAACTGGCTTTGCCACCCACTGCTGTTTAAAGGCCTGGGTAGTGATAGTGCAAATGTTTTGGACTAAAGTGTTAGGAAGAGCCTGCTGTGAATCCACGGAGCCAGACAGAAAACTACTGTTATTTGGAAAGTAGATGGGGAAATCAAGAGCTGTAGCTATGTACTTTTTCTAATACTGCACTTGTATTTTGTTATGGACTTGGAATATTCATTTTGTGTTACAAAATTTATTTTTCTATGAAGAATATGACAAATGCTATTTTCTTAGCTGTCCTAACATGCAACATCTGACTGTATACTTTGTTACTGCTGGGCTTCCAGAGAGAACTTGAGATGACAAAAACATTTCTAAAGAATACATTAGTTCATGTAAGAGGTTGTAGGGCAGTCACGGATAAACGACATGAGCAATCTGTGCTTCTGACAAAAAGCTTCCTCTTTCCCATGAATCACTCTTAAGTATCATGTGTTTAAAGAGTGACTTCAGCTCATGTCTGTCTACAATTATAGAAAATGTGGAAATTTAAAGGCATTTAAAAACGCATTTGTCCATGAAGACTCATGGTAGCCAACTATTGAGCTAAGTAATACTTTGGATATGAGGTTCAGAACCAAAAATCAAGTGCTTTTAAAGCCACAGTGTTGTCCCTAACATGCTCGTAATTGAGTCATCTCTTGGCTTTCTAGTTTTGTGGGTTTGTTTATTTTGGGGGATTTTGATAATCAGCAGTTTACCCTGTTCAGACTTTCTCAGATGGGAATGACAAGTTGAACAGCCATTCTTTGCCTTCCTGTAGCATAACTGCAAAGCAGCTGAGGCAGGGACCGTGAGTGAGAGCATGAACTTGAAGGCAGCCTTCCAGAAAGGAGAGGAAGCTCTTGCTAAAGCTGCTTCTAGCTTTTTCTCAAGCAGCTTCAAGGCTGGCTAAGACTTCTCAAGCAGCTTTGTCAATGTCAGAGCTGGCCTTGAGCAGAGGTGGTGTCTACACTCCTGGTGGTGATGGACTGTGATCTGGGCCCTGGGATTTATTTGAGCAATCCCTGTTTTAACTACCCTAGCAAGGGTTCCTGGAACTTTCTGGACAACAAAAGACCACCAGAAGTTGTGTGATTTATTCATCTAAGAAAAATGTAGCTTATCTATGGCATTCTGCTCTTAACGTATTAGCTTGTACCGTATGCTATGTATATGTGGACTTAAGAGACAGACTTTTAGAGGATCATATTGTAAAAAGTTTCTGTTCAGAAACTCTGACTTTATCCCTTCCTCTCTCTTAGGGCAAGAGAAAAGTGCAAAGGAAGGAAGTGCTTTGCAAACTGACATCAGTCCTGCTCTTGGATCTGCATTTATATATGCTGTTTTTTTTTTTTTGATCAAGTGAAATTGGGCATGAGTGTTTTGTCATCTCAATTCTTAGTTGGAAACTTAGTAATAATAGTCAAATGATTCATTAGTGGGAAAGCTAGAAAAAAAAATAGCATGTTATTCTTTGTGGAAGGTCTTAAACCTTTTCAATTAGAATTACATGTGTTTTATCTATTATTTCTTTTCTTTCCTCTAATCAGATCAAGAAGTCTGGAAATTATTTCCAGATGCATGTTTGAATTAATGGTGTTTCCTTATTGAAGATTTTTCATACTCTCACCTGAAGACTGTTTAAAAGTCATGCTAGCGGTATCTGTAATGAATCAGGTTCCTTTTCTACAGGGTCAATGTTCTTTATTCTGTGTCCATAAAAATATGACCATCGTGTTGATGTTAAAGCTTGTTAACATCAGTGGGTCCTTTTTGTCTTTCAGAACTTCTCCAGAAGCGAAATTGCTTGAAACAGCTTATAATAAACTGGTAGTAACATTCAGTGGAAAATTAAGATTGCATCTTAATTTCTGTACCTACTTTAGAAATTTTGAGGTTGGTGGTAAGGTTGAGCCCTTACTGTTCATTTCATACATGAAACTTGAATGTCACTCGACATTTGCATTATGAACAAAGCTAGCTGTAATCTCTTTTGCAGAGGAAAGTGTAAAAACAATTCCCGGTTTAGCTGCACTCTCCTTGATCAGTGGAGTGTTGTGGGTCTTGAAATGTAAAGGTACTGGAAGGTGACGTGGTCCTTAAATGAACAGCATCTGAATCTGTTTATCACAAATATTACTCTCTGCAGATGTTGTTATCCTAATAGCCTGTGTAGTAATCTTAAGTCTTTCGCCTGCATTTCTTTCCTTTTAACTGTAATAAACACCTGACTGACAGTTATAGGATCTCAAATTGCAATGACTTCAGCGTGAGGTGAGGGAGTGAGACTTGTGTGCTTGGATCGTGGTGGTGTTTAGAGAGAGGAGAGTTGAGGCTGATACTTCTAGTTTTGAGACTTGTTACATGGGGTGACTGTGACAAACAGAACTCTAAAAAGACTCGTGCCTGTTCAGGCTGCCCAGCCATCTGTTTATCTGGGGTATTCAGCTACAGTTCCTATTACATTTCCCTTTCTGGAGAGAAAGTGAATGTTTACTGTAAGGTGAAGTGTGTAGTGAATGATGAATAACCGTGAGTAAACTCCAGGACTACATAAGAGCTTTTAAATTACAGACTTCTTTTAGCAAGATGTAGTGAAACCTGCAAGGTAAATCTGATTATACACAAAGTGTAAAAATTAATTTTTTCTTTAACACTGTTATAGTAGCATAGTCTGAAAGAACATTGAAGTATTTCATACTGTGATTTGATTCACAAGGTTTAGTTTGATTGATATCCTAGATGAACTTAATGTGTGACTTATATTAACCTTAAAGGATAAATTTATTATATAACAGTTTGCACAGATGTCAGATTTTTGCTGCTAACAGCTAGTCCCGTTATTTTTAGTAAATGGGATATGAAGAAGAGGATTGCCTTAAGCACTTTAGATTTTTTTTTTAGACTTTTTGCGCTAGAATCTCTTTCAAATTGAGTACGGACATATTAGTGATACTTTGTAGCAGCTGGTGCACTATTCATAGGAAGTAAACTGGAAAAAATAGTACTTGTTAAGAACTTGCTCTGCAGCTACAGAAGAGTGATGTATGCTGCTTGTGAAGTTACTTTTCTGGGAGATAGCTTCAGGGACTGGAGGGACTGCACTTCCTTATGAATGAGCGTGACCTTCTGAAGGCCTGTAGTTTCGCCAGGTAGTTGGCATTAAGTGTAACAGGTCTGGTGAAATAAATACTGAGCTTTCCCTGCTCTGAAGTCAAAGACTGGTGGTTGATCAGGAGTTTTCCTTTGTATGACCAAAACAAGAATTTTTATTAATGTTACTTAGTTAAATGATTATTTGTGTTCTTTCGGGATTACATTACTTCTAAAATAACCTGTTGCAAAGAACTGAAGAGGTTTTCTCGAGTCCTTACTGTAGTGGAAAACTGACTTGTTTTTATGGAAAGCTATATGAACTCAAAGAAGGAGCTTTAATTTTGGAAAAGATTATTTTAAAGCATCCACGTGGTAAGTATTTCCTCAAATCCTGAGATACAGAAGGCAGAGGCTGACAGGTTTTCCTTCAGCCATTCTGTAAGGAAGAGTAGTAGAAGGTATTACACAAGTCCTTCCTCCCCCTCCCCCCCAAAAATTGTTCCTCCTTTTCATATTAAGACAGACTGCGCAAACTAACTGGTTCCTTCAGGGGGAAAAAAAAATCTAAGTAATACTTTGGTCTTGTAACCATCATAGGTTATGAATATTAAACATAGCTTTGTAGAAATTTTCCTCAGAATTTTCCTTAGCATTTTTCCCCTAACCTTGCTTACTGTTACACTAGCTGATTTGAACAAAATGTTAGAAGGAGAAATGTGGTAGGAGAGGATGATGATTTTCCCAAGCAGTGTAAAGTAGGCTTTATGCGTATTTCAATATTAGGCTAAACAATTTCCTCCACCACTCTTCAGTGTACCTGTTGTTGCACGTGCCTTGCACAAGGTAAAGCTGTAATCATCCGTTGGCTGAGATGTTGGGCATGCTTAGAAATCTTGTGCTTTCACATTTTATTTACCAAGTTACACACTGGGTTTCCATAACCATCGCTTTAACTGTACCTCAGGTATTCTGTAATCAGTGCTTCGTTCCTCTTTTCTTTGGAAAGTAGCTGCACGTAGCAGGCCTGTCATTATCCACACTGAATTACAGGGGTGCCTTAGAGCCCGCAGAGTATTTTGACGTCTTTAACTTGTATGTGATGCAAACGTTTTGTATTAATAAATAACGTTGAAATCTAAGTTGAATCACGGCTGAGTTTCTTGCTTTGATTTTTTTTTTTTTTCATGGGGAGTCTGTCATTGTGACTGCACGTACGTTTGAGTGCAAGATCTTCCTCTTTGTGCATAAAGGTGGTACTGGAAAGCGGGATTTAAATAAAAAGTAGATTCACCTAGAGTCCAAAAAAAAAAACAACAGCAACAAAACAAACCGAAGCAAACCAGCCCC